GTTTGTGGAGGCTTGCATTAACTTAATTGCATTTAAATTGAAAATATTCTAGAGTGAATTCTGTTGCGAATTTTAATTAAAATAAAAATAAATAATCAACAGAAAATGAAAATGTAAATGGTTTGCATTTTACACAGGGAACTCCTCAATCAAATGGCTTTGATAAGCAAGGACTCGTTGTAGTATATTCCCCGGTTTCCAGTGATGCTTCTATAGATACATAAATTATCTTTATGTGGGAATATGGTAGAGGCACACTCTTTGAGTATATCTTTCGGCTCCCCATAATGGTTATTTTGCTGACCAAGCACTCTCCCATTCATTCATCATCTTCAGGTCCTAATGAGTCACTCATGCCACTCGAAGACCTCGTCGTTGGCCTGTCAAAACACAATTTGATTATTAGCAGCGTTGCTGTTGTTGGGGTCGTCTGAAATTTCATCCAATCGAATGGGCTGCTGTTCCCCGATAAAGGTGTGTCGGAGCTGCCAATCGATAAGCCGCCGCCCCCTGCTCCGCCTGCACATCAGTCACTGTCACCCTACAACCAACCACAAATGGCTGCCTGCCCACCCACTATCCACACTCCCACTTAATGCCCGTGCCCCCATCCACTGCCACATGCCGAAACGTGATTAATGCGTTGGCGTTGCAGCTAAGCTCGCTGTTGCCGGCCATCAACATCAGATACAGATACGAGCAAGAGTACTCGTACTCGTCCAAGATATCGGCGAAAAACGTATGGCAGGATGTTTTCAGATAATGCCCTGCAAAATTTCACACCCAACCCGAAGAGATTTGTAATGTTTTGATTGCCGGGAGAAAGCTGGAAGAGAGAGATGGACGGCGCGTGCCGTGGTCCATGTCTGACCAGGGAATCTTTACGGCAGACACGTGCCCGCATTTTCGAGCGTAAGGTTTCGCGGATTAATTTCAATTTGCTGCAAGAAGAGCACAACGATGAGGAGGGTGGAGTGGAGCTTTGCTGCTAATTATGTGTGGAATGTTTTAGATAAACACGGAGCACAATGCAGCAACAGTCAGAGGCACGTCGACGGCTGCACGGACAACCGGCCAAAAGGACAACCGGGCGGAAGGCGGCCACTTGTCAGCTCGACCCGCTGCTACTCCTGATGCGGCTCTGGCTGTGTTGCTGTTTCTGTTTCTGCTGCTGCCGGCCTAATCCGTAAGTGTCGTTCTCAAGCACGCAGCAGCGGCAGGCGCTGATAGAGCACACACACACAGAAACCGAAGGGAATGCCAGAACACTGAAGGAAAACAGGAAACCCAATAGCAAGTTACCAAAACTAGTTTCAAAATGTTTCACGACTTTACATACGAATTAAGTAATGAAATCTTCACTTAAAAACTAATATAAGATTCGGAAAGCTGAGAAAATAATCTTGATAGAAGTTTTTACAGGTTTTACAGGTTGGTTAACGTGCATATGTTACAAATAACATGAATAGTATTCGATTGATTTTGCTTTTTTGTTGTTTCGCATGTATATTTATTCCCGATGTTAGAATAATTTATTTTCAGTGTAAGTGGGCGACACCAAACGGAGGACAATGAGCGGTAGAACTTACCCGGACGTGTACCCGTACTGGCGGCTGCCCGCTCCCCCGTACATAATGATGTGGCGCTGTCGACATCGACGTGTCATCGACAACCAGCAACGGTTTTGGGTGGGGTCGTATCTGGCTCTGGCTTTGGTTTGGGCCCGGCCCTGTCTCCGTTTCTGTCCCTGGCTCTACGACAGGCAGCCAGCCTGTTGGTCAGAGATAACAGCAATTTATTTTCAAGTCATCATTTTAATTATCCCGTTCGCAATGTTGGGAACAACCTTGCGACTGGGCGCGGTTCGCATTAAACGTGACAACAGCAACAGCTACAGGCACCAACACCAGCGAAAAGAGGAGAAAGAACCACTGCGATGGCGCGTTGGTAGCCATTTTGCTCATTAAAATATAATATGTATTTTTTAATTTCAGAGAAATGTTTGCACAAAAATTTCCTCGAAACAAAGTTGAGAGCCATGCCGCTGTCTCTCCTCCCCTACATTCTCTTCCCTTTTCTCACTGCTTCTCTGTTCTGTGTCTACCCCTCTCGCTGGTTCTGTTTTTGGGGCAGTACTCGTCTTTTACTCGTACATTTCCATCTTTTATTCTATGTCTGTCTCTGGCTGCAGCTCAACCGGAGACCGAAAATCCTTTTTTGAAGCATTTTCCCATTTTCCATTTGCCTAACCGAGCCCCAGAGCCAGAACCCTCTCCCAATCGCCAACCAGCACACCACCTATCCTACCCCCAAAGACCCAACAACCCCTAGCGAACCCCCTTCATGCGTTTTTATAACCGGAAGCGTTCATGAGAAAGTTTCCGCTTTCATAACCGAATTTTAATTAACTTTCGAAAACCTAATTACAAAGTATTATTATAATGAAAAAGCAGTGCACAAAGCGAGTGGAGCTCTCAGAGAGGCGGGTCCATGGGGGTCCAACCATCCAACCATCCAACCAGCCAGCAACCAGATCCGAGCGGATGCTGCCCCTGCAGCGACAACCACGTTGCCACACTGCCTTCCTGCCTCCGCCATTGCTACGTGGCGCTGTCTTTGACTGCCACCATGGGGAAAGGAAGCAGAGAGAGAGTGAGGAAAATGCCAGATGGGGCTGGCAATGGAGGCTACCAAAGGCACTACTACTTCCTGTGTATCCATCCGGCATAAGCCGCTGCTGCTCCATGCTGTTCCTGCAGCAAAGGAAAAAAGGGTTGCGTTGCCCGACCATTTTTCTACGTGGCAGCATCTCCACTCCTTTCAGGCCCCACACCCACAACCCCAAACCCGGCTGTGTCTCGTTTTAAAATTAAATATTCCATTAGAAAATTACTACAAGATTGTGGTTCTTTATTAGCAGCAGAACAGCAGCCGTAAAACCTCAAGCCCTCGGCCGGCCTGGACTGGATTTACTCGCAAATTTCCTGCCACAATCCCTACTGAACGGAAACCGAGCTGAATTTCGGATGTATGAAATTTCTAACTAAAAATTCAATTTACAAATTTTTTTTACTAATTTCTATGTTTTGTCAATTATACAATTCTAGTATATAAAACACATTGGATATAGGGAATGAAAAGGGAGAGTGCACCGAGGTCATAGACATGCGATGATTACTCGTGTTTCAATAAAACTCTGACTCTGGCCATCATCAATGTTTAATGACCAACCAAATGTCATGACAAATTGTACACTCTGCTCTGCCAATTTCCTAATGGTTTTGTTCTGGGAAGTTGTAAAAAGTTTAACCCGAACTTGTTGTTTGTTGAAAATGGAATTTTAAATCTGTCTTCGACAGAATAATTACATATTGATGGGGTCGGGTCGCTCACAAGCGGCGGCGAGCCGTGTGGGTGGCATTTATGAATAGATATGGGAGGACATGGCTGGTTCTGGCTTGTCTGGAGAGCTCAACAAACTCGGAACACCACCATACCATCGGCATCCCCCCCATTGAGCGTCTTCAGCGCGCATGTCTGGCATTAAGGCATCGATATATAAATTGTCGACAACTGGAAATGGGGGGTGGCGCGGTTGAGTGGGTGGCTTGGGTGTTTTTGGGTGGGTTGTCGGTTTAGCCGAACCAACCCCAAGACACAGATCTCGTAAGCCCCGCACACAGATGGGGTTGTTTGCGGGAGTAAAATGAAGGAACTCTAACAAAATGCTGACAGTCACAATGTCAAGGAAAAATCGAAATTGAAGCGACAACAAACCAAGCGCCATTTTGTTGTCGCTCCCAAAGCGAGACCCAGACACAGACCGAGTCCCAGTCAGAATTGCATGGACAGACAGACCTACTCCCCGACCAAGTCCCAAGCCCCTGACGAACAACAAAGCGCGCTCTTTATGGAACAGTGCTGTTCTACCCATGGTAGAGGCCATAAAAAATGTATTAAAGCAAGTTGCCCACATATAAAATGTATATAGATATCTGTCGGTATATAGAAATGGTGACCTTCCTGCTTAATTAAAAAAGACAACAGCTTGTTAAACGTTCGCAGGGTCTGCAGCGACCAGATAAATGAACTGTTTGTGAAATTGCAATGCCTCTGGCTACCAGGCCCACGTCCGAGAATTCTGGAACCATAGATTCTTTCAAATGAATCACACCGATGATAATCAACGTTGGATAGGTTGTAACTGTCGCCCTACCAGGGGGGAAATGCGACTGATCAGGCTGTAGTTGTCGGAGTATATACATACATATATACATATAACAGAGATAAGGTCCATGATAGGGTATCGTATCGTATATTCCTCTCTTTATATTACTAGAAAGCAAACAGAACAGAACCAAAAGAAGAGGGATAGGTGACTGGAAGTATGACTGGGACTGGGACTGAAACTGGGGTTGGGTTGAGATGGGTTAGTCAGGTCTGGGACGTGGCTGTTTACCTTCTTGTTCCGTTGCAATTTATGAGTGCAGGGCGATAAGAGCGGGGTTTATCAACGGAAAACAACGGAAAACTGGGAAAAACTGCACTCTGCATCTGGGTAGCGATAAGATAGGGATGACACCTCTCGGAACCACTATCGGTCGTTCAATTTGCTGCATCGATACCATGCCCGTAGATAGGACCGGGGGACGGAGACCAGCCCAATCAATATAGAAATGATTGTTGGAGGTCAGTTGTTTATGTCAACAAAGGTAGGTATTGCTTTGATTGCCTGGGAAATTAAAACTAATTTATAATTTTTTTTTTTTACTTTTTTCATGTATTTCAAACATTAAAATAGTCGGTTTGTTGCTGTTGTTTTTGTTTTGCATGATTTATAATAGTATTAATTTTAACTAGCTTTAGAGTTTGGATTTTAATTCTTGCTTTGACATTTATTGAATTTCATATTGTGTTTATTTTACAATAAATTTCATTTGTTTCAGTGTGTTTTTTTCATATTTAAACTATTTTTTTATCAAGTTTAATTAATTAGCTTAGCTCAATGTAAAAATGTGTCCTTTTTATAATTTTTTCATACTTTACGCACAATATAACTAATATTAAAAATTATTGAATAATAATTGCATTCTCATATTCTTTTCTTTTTTTATGCTTTTTTTTGCGTGCTGCCTTCGTTATTTATGCTAATTAAATGTTAAATGCTATACAATATTTATATATGTTTAATTTTATTTCATGTGTGTGTGTGTGAGTGTGAGGGTGTGGCATAGTTTCATACAATTTGATTAATTCTCAAGTTAGTTTAAAATTGTTGTTGGTGGAGGGGGGAGAGGGTTTTAGTGGGGGGTTGGGTTCTCTCTCTTAGGAATACGTACTATTTATAGATTATTTACAAAAATGCCTAAGCCTAACGAATTCGTACAACAACAGAAGACACACAATGTAAATGTAAATGAAGTCTGATATATCTGCACATACCCGATCCGTGGATATTCTCGTATGTGTGTATATAAATGACAATTTTTCATAAATTATATAGTATAAGACGTGACGTTTCCTATGCATGGCCAGATTTCTTGTTGTATTTTGAAGATTCTTAGGGTGTTTTGCTGGACTGCTGAATATATGATGATATAGGGCTTAGTTTTTTGGTTTTTGATCATTTGCGATTCGAATTCGATTGCCTTTGGATAAAGGTTTCACTTAGTATTTGTATTTGCGCTTCTATTTGGGACATTTTAGTTTAGTTTTAGCGTTTCTGACAGAACATTACACACGATCCCGCTAAGCTCACTCTCTCTCCCTAAGGATAGTATCCCTACCATCTCTCTCTCTCTCTCTTTCTCTGTGTTACATTTAAAATGTTTAAATTTGTAGTTTTAACCGCTTTGATTGTTATTGCTTGTTTCGACAACGAAAACAAATGGCACGGAATTATATTTTTGTATTAGCAAAAGAACATAAAATTTTAACAAAAGTTCTTAGAGCACGGGGGCAGCCACATTGGATTGGTGCCTCCGATCGCTGCACTTACAACTACATCACTTTTTTCTTGTTTCTTGGTTTCCCCAACAGAACGATACACCGGGTATTGGAAAGGAAAGGAAAAAACATAAAGGCAAAGGCTAAGACAGTGCTAGCAGTAGAAGGGTTCGATGGGTCTATGTACAAGTGTGTGGGCCCGAACCTGATCTCGAGCCTAACCCTGGCTGGCTGGCTACTCACGTGCTCAAAGGATGCGCCCAGGTGCTAAAAGCCAGTGGAACTGCACTCGCTAATTGACAGGCCCATGCCCATGCCCTTGGGTGCCACAAAGCCGCCGCTTGTGCGGGGCCAGGGCTACAGGAGGTTCTGCAGGGCGGCGGCTCCATTGAACGTGAGGCTGTGATTCCAGTTCCGGTAGCTGGCGGCCGCCGCGTACTGCTGGTAATTGTTGTACTGCTGCTGTGCCGCCTGGTGCTGCAGTTGCTCCTCGCTGAGGTCGCTGGTGATGTTCGAGGAGTCCTCCTGCAGCTCCGCCGAGAGTTGGCTGTGCAACAGCTGTTGCTGATGCTGTTGGTGTTGCTGCTGCTGCTGTTGTTGCTGCTGTTGCTGCTGCTGCAGCTTCTGGGAGTAATTAACGACCGATGCTGAGGCAGTGGCCAATGCCGATGCGGAGACTGATCCCGAGCCTGAGCCTGAGCCCGATCCGGAGCCTGAACCCGAACCCGATCCTGACTTGCTGCTGGCCTTGGGTGCTGTGGTTGGTGTGGTATTTGAAGCGGATGTCAGTTGCTGCGCCGCCTGCTGCTGCTGGTGGTGCTGCTGCAAGTGCTGCTGCTGCTGCGAGCGCAGCATCTGCTCCGCGCGCCCTTAAGCTAAGGGGTACTGGTGGTGTCACAAGCTCGTAGTGCCGGCGGGCGCGTGGTAGCCGAGGCTCTGGTAGTACGAGTCCTGGCCTAAGGCAGCGTGTGAGTTGGTCAGCGGGCTGAGGGCGTTGTAACCGGCGTACTGGCTCATATCGTACATCTTGATGTCCGCCTTGGACTCTGTGGGCAGCAGGCGATTGATGGAGAATGGGTGGCTGGAGGGAGTGTAGCCTGAGGGCTCCTGTTTCAGTGGATGCATCGACGAGTGGTAGTCGCTGATCAGCGACGGGTGGCACCGGTTGGCCATCATGGCCGACAGCTCCTCCTGCTGCAGCTGGTGGTGCTGGTGGTGGTGGTGCGTCGGCACGTGCTGTGGCTGCTGTCCCAGGCAGAGCTCCGCGTTGGCATGGAGCATTGCCAGGGCCTCCGCATCCTTGCTGTGCGCCGCACTCAATACATTCACCCCGGCCAGAGACGCTCCGCCCGCTTCCTTGTGGTGCTGGTGGTGCTCCAGTCGGCTGTGGTGATGGTGGTGCATGTGGTGCGAGTCCTCGTGGTCCTTCTTTCCCGGACTGGTCGCCTCCAGGCTGCTGTGCGACGGACTCTTGTGCAGCTGCCGAATGGCCTCCTTCTTCTCGTCCTTGAAACGCTTCTGGCGCCGCAAGTAGCATCCGTTCTCGAACATATTCCCGGAGTCGGGATGCAGGGTCCAGAAGGATCCCTTGCCAGGCTTATCAGGCGTCCGCGGAATCTTCACGAAGCAGTCGTTGAAGCTCAGAGAGTGCCGGATGGAGTTCTGCCAGCGCTGCTGGTTCTGCCTGTAGAAGGGGAACAGGTCCATGATGAACTGGTAAATCTCCGACAGAGTGAGCATCCGCGTCGGATTATTCTGTATGGCCATCGTGATCAGGGAGATGTAGCTGTACGGCGGCTTGGCGTGCGTGTAGCTGCGTCTGTAGGTCGTCGGCTTGTCCACACGCGATCTGCCCAGCGAGTTGGGGGAGCCAGTCTCCATTTCCCGCGATCCAGGCGGCATCGGACCGTAGTTGCCGCTTAGGCCCGCCGCCGACATGCTGGCCGCTGACATGGCCATGCAGCCGCCCATGTTCCCGAGTGGAGAGCCCATGCTCGCGTAGCTCATGGAGCTGGGGGTCATGCAGTTGCCGCCCATCGAATTCATAGCCGCCGCTCCCATGCTGCCGGTCATGCTGGCCACCGCCGCCGAGTCGAGGACACTGGAGCCGAAGGTGGCCGCCGCCTGGGGAGATACCGAGGACATGCCACCCACCGGGATTCCCATGCTGTTCATTGTGTAGGCGGATCTGGCCAGCGGGCTCATGCTGCCGCCGTTCGAGGTGGGGTTCGGGTTGTTGTTGATGCTGGAGGGCGGAGGGCCACTCGGCGGCGGGCCCCCAGAGGACATGCTCACCGGAGCGCCGCTGCTGGGCGGCGGCTCCGCGTAGAGCTTCTGCATGATGTCAATGGTGGTCTGGTGGGGGCTACCCTTCAGAAAGCTGTTCAATAGTTGCGCCGTTATGTTGCCGGCTTTCGGACGCACTGTCCCCAGGAGAAGCGAGGGAAAGTTTGACGCGTGCAAGGGACGCGCACAAAAAACGGAAAATTAAAAAAGTTCTATAGCTGGGTTTGCCGAATTTTCCCGATAATTTTCGCTCTGCGATCTGCGATCGGGCTTTGTTTTATATTATTTGATGATATGATCTATTATCTTTTGTTCAATGCACTATCACTGCATTTATTGATGTGATAATTATTTGTGGCATGTTTTTGGGTGGTGCACTGCACTTGACACTTTCTTCAAAGTTCTACTCTCTGTTGTGGGTTGTCGGTTGTTGGTTGTTGGTTTTGGGTTTTAGCTATTCTTTCTTTTTGTTGAGATTTGGCTTTGTTTGTGCACTAAACACTTTGATTAATTTATTTGTGTGGACCGGCCCGCCTGATGCCTTAAGCAAATTTGGCAATAAAATAACGTGGCAAATATGGCTCTATTTTTTTGTAATACTATAATTCTCTTTTTGTCCGCTGCTCAGAGCCCTGCGCCGCGCCGCAACAAAAACCGACGCACGAACGTGGAACGTGAATTGTTAGCTGGCTTTTGGCCACTGAAGCTGTGGATGAGGCTGAGAACTGCTGCTGGCTGTGGCTGTATCTAGAGATGGAGCTGTAGCTGTAGCTGATGCTGAGGTTGAGTCTGCTGCTGCCGCTGCTGCTGGTCCGCTCGAGTGTCTCTTTGGCTTGAGCTCTTGAATGTGACTGTTTGCAGAGGGGAACGCTTGTCTACTATTTGGCTTGCGCTTGCTGCCAACAAATATTGTTCGAGCCGCGCTCAAGTGCCGATGCCGATGCCAGCGTCGACGTCGACAGCAGTGTGTGGCAGTGGCAGCAACAACTCTGACTCGTTCTCACCCACGGCCCAGAGGCCAGCACACACACACAGACACACCCCGAAACAACTACAACTACAACCACCGTCGCTTGCTGAGGCCTTGCCAATGACAGGCTCTCGCTCTCTTACGCACACACCGCTCGGAGCGGCGCAAGCGCATTGGCCGGAACGCGGCTCTTGGATCAACAGAGCAGTTAGCGGACGCGGGTTGCCACGACAACTGATAGTCGGACGGGGGCGTGGCCAACGTAAGCAGCGAAAGAGCGAGAAACGCCCTCTCATGCGATATGGAGCAGCTGCATCGCACTAATACACTTATACTAACACACACACACACATACACAGATAGCGCCTAATGCCAGGGCCCGGGCCTGGACCTGAGCGACGCCATGTTACAGTTAACGATTTTCCCCTAATGCGATCAATAATCGCTCGCTCCCGCTTCCACTCGCACGCTCATCCGCAAAAAAAGCGACTACGACTGGTACTCCGACTCCGACTCCGATTGAGACAAGGGTCTTCTGCTCCGAGCGCGATTTCGTCTGGGGTTTGGTTGAGAGACTCGACTCCTACTACATCGACTCTGAGTACTGCGAGACGATGCATACGACGCTCTATGTTTTGCCAGAGAACAAAAAAGAACGCCTTTTGGCTCCCAAAGAAGACATTAATAATACATATGTGTGTGTGTGTGTCTGCTGTTTCTTTTTTTTTGCTCATTCGTTCGTTTTTTAGACCCTCTGCACATTTGAGGTTAAGGTATGCCAATGTCACTCTCATTCATTCTCATTCACATTCGTGGCATGGCATTCGAGGCATCGCGAGCGGCAGCAACAGCAGCAGAAGCATCAGCAGAGCGCATCTTTCCTTTTTGGCAAGTCATTGCGAAAGTGACCCAGTTCTGGCCTCATACCCAGACCCATCCTCCAGCGGATGTCTACTACCTGGTGATGGAAACTGAAACTTAAGTCTGGACCATTCATTGATGCAAATGATGCAAAAGAGCGCGTGGATGTTGAATACTTCCTGGTAGACAGGCTAGAGAGTTCTTCTGTTTTATGGCCGCGGATAAAACGCATTTTAATTTCGGTTATAAAGAAGACTCGGAACGGGTTCCGTGATACACCGTACGCCGCTTGACGCCTTCCATTGTGCATTCCATTCCGCTCTTAACCCTTTCACCCAGCCAAGTGTGCCAGTGTCTCTACTCATGTATATGAGAGTGAGTGTGTGTATCTGTGTGATGTACGGGTGTGTGTGCCAGTATCCATGAGTGTGTGAGAGGCTCATTATTGCATCCATAAACGAATTGTTTGTTTCATTTCTCAATGAAACGATGTACTCAATTGAGATCTACCTGAAGATTCAGATACTGGCGGAAATTCCTCATTTCCCATGTTGTCACGAAGAATTTTCCGTTCCGTTCTGCTTTGCTAATAGTCTAAATTTAGGAGCTGGAATAATATATGATTTCTCCTTTATGATACTCAATGAGGGACGGGACGGGACCCCTATATTATGTTGACATGTTGGAACAAATAATAACAAACCACCATATATGTAGATAATATTGAGTTATTCCATATTTCTGCTCTTCATTCTATTCATATTTCAATCAAACATTGACTTAAGCAATCATATATCCGGAAGATCGAAAATCCTATTTGATTAAGTTAAAGAAATGCAATCAAACTCGTACATATATGTAGATGTATGTATATATATGGTAAGGTTCGGGCATATTATACACATATTAAGTATGATCTTTTAAAAAACAATAAAAGGGTACATTGTTTTTATATGCATTACCAGATTTACGAATAACTCCCCATAATCATCTATGGCTTACTTTATTCACTCACAAAGCTACATAAATGCGTTTAGTCGTAGAGATACAAATTTGTTTACAAATTTGTTTACGACATTCCAATATCTCTATCACATCAGCACCATTGTCATCAAACATCTTGGAATATACTTTATATATTTAGGTGCATATATGAGTATCTTTATGTGCACTTCTAATCACTTTTATTGTATTTCAGAGGCCGTTCAAGTGGCTCTGGATCACTAATGATTGTGTGTGCGTTTGTGTGTGTTATGTGTGCTATAGAGTGGCAGAAGCGCATCACGCTTTTATAATAATATACGAGTATATCCGTACGGTAGACTTTTTTTGGCGTAGACTCTTGGCAAATACTCGTAGTAATGCCAGCAATCCAAAAATAAATGTACATAAATGTGTACTCGTATTTATTTACCTTTTAGTCATTTATCTATTTATTTATTTGCTTTAAAAGCGCGCCACTGTAGGTTGTACGTATGGGGGTTCCATTCAGTTCGGTTTCACTAGGGTTGGATTGGGTTTTGCAACGGCACGATTTGATACAGTGCGGGTTCGGCTGCACTCGGATGGCAAATCGGGTCTAAATCCTGCTCAAACTTTTTAATTAGCCCCAGCCCCAGCCCCAGCCCCAGCTCAGGCGCAGCATCCCCGCAGTGCATTTATGGAAAATATTGACTTTACTACTTTTTCCCAGCGATGTTTTGATTTTGTTGTTGATATTACTTTAAAATGCTGCGCTTTTTGTTTGTTTTAAGCATTTCATTTCTGTGACGCATGCGCCATGTGGCAATGACTTTACAGAAACCCATACATAAATATATTTATATCTATAAAAGCATTTGACCAACATTTCTCAGATAGATGACGTCTGCTGTCTGCCTGCCGCTGCCGCTGCCGCTTGGCATGTATCCGTATCTGTATCTGTTTTATATTTATTTTTATTGTTATTATTTGTGATTGTTGATTTATTTGTTTGTTCAATATTTTCACACAAATTAAAATACTTTGCCCACTCGTTGGCCTGTCCGCGTCCGAGTCCGCATACAAATCGGAATCAACGGAATCAGCGGACAGCGCATAGGGAGCATCAATGTCGATTAAATTGTTTTTCTTTCTGCTCATTTTTTTTGGCTTAGCCCAATTATCGGTACTCATTAGTGATTGTTTAATCATTTGCCCCAACAGAAGAAGATCGCACCATTCTAATATCTGGGACAAACAAACCCCCAGAGATCTATACTTTTTATGACATTTGCTTACGATTTTTGCAACTAAATCGATGGAACGTGTTTTCATTTGGAGGCTGGTTCCCGGATATCTTCTGGGTCCTTTGAGCGGAATCCTGTTAGTTTTTTATTTTTGGTCCAAGCCTATCCGCTCATTCTTTCCAGGTGAGAACTTAACGGGCAAAATAGCTACAAAATAAGCGGCCGATACAACGAAATGGAAACGGAATATTTTTGTTATCATTTCCTAACCTTCAGTTAAGTAATATCACTTTCTATATTGACTAACAGGTTTTACCTAAATTTGAAATCTTGTTTCGGTTCTTTTTAACAAATTAGTGATTAATTTATTTCAGAATTCTCATGAAATATGATTGAGTGTTCTCTAAAGTGTAGTTTTCCAACCTACATACATATATAGTAGTATTCGGGATATCTTGTATATGTTAGCCGTTGTCTGAATGGTTCTGTATCTACAATATGTATCTATATCTTTAGCGTCTCTGTGTTGCGTGTGCCGTAATGAGCGTAACCATAAAAGCGTCTTTTGTTTTACGACCGCATTGCGCGCGTGTTTACCGTAGACAACAATACAACAATGCCAATTTTATGGCTGCCCCTGCCACGCAGACAATGCCCCGGCGAACCGCAGCGCAGCCGAGACCAGCATCCGCAGATACTCGTACTCGCCGCACTGATACAGCAACCCGGCCCGGTACACACCCGGCCAAAAGGTGACACCGAAACTAGAGCAGTTTCCAAAGGGTAAAGGAGAGAGCCAACGGGATGCCGATGCCGATGCCGCGGTCTTGCATTAATTAGAGCGCGTTGGACAGAGGGCAGCCAACCAACCCATGAAGGGTGGCGGACACGGTGAGGGACAGGGACATGGGCAGGGCTCCGATTACTTTCTTCAGAGCCATAAAACGGTGCTCTGGAATGCTGGCATGGGATGCTGGAATATATGGACTGGCGGCTCTTATCTAAATTAGGATGTGGCTTGTTTGCGCCCGTGTCTGCTCATCGCCTGCATTATTTGCGTAGGTGTTTCATTTCCGCTCCACAATCTATCCGCCGAATGTTTGCCGGCGTACTCATCGTACCTTTGCCCCTGAACTCATCTCGACACCGAGAATTTTCGTTTTCCTTACTTTCACATGTGATTTTCTTTGTTTTCTTATCAGTTTTGGCGCGTCAGCCGTCGCCGTCGCCATCGCCATCGCCATGATTCACATTTTCCTTTGCCGCCTCGTCTGTATGCTCAAAAAACTGCACTTTTACAAGGGCGAGCCAAGTCAAGACCTTAGCGCTGCAGCAGTGACGGTCGCCCTTGGGTCGGTCGCCTTCGATACGGATGCGGTTCCCTCCGCCGGAGTTTGTCGCATTTCGGCGGAGTGCGTGCCTTATCGGGGTCGGTTCCACGCCACTAGATACCGCTTGAATCACAGCCTAGTCGTGGTTTTTGCTTGAATTTTGCCACATTTATCTATTTCGCTGCGGTTGGCTATAAAGTCTCTGTGCCTTTTATCTATGTGCAAACACGCGAAAGCAATGATATTAAGACACTGGCGTGGCGACCTTATTTCCTCTGGCTCTGGGCCCCCAAGAAAACAACTAGTTTTATTCTTTTAATTAAAAAAAAAAACTGTTGCTCCCCTTCGTTTGTGGAAGAAGCATTAAAGACGTTACGGTCAGTTTGGCGATGCGTAGAAATGGGAAAATTACTCATAGAAAGGACCAAAATGAAATTTAATATTGGGGTTGGGTT